GGAAAATCTTAATGAAAAGTTACTGTTAAAATACATGGAATTCGAGTTATTTATATACATTAGAGAACCACTTTTCCAATTAAATAACGCATACGTCGAAACGTAACTCAACAACATATTGACACTTCCCAGGTAACAATTTTGAAAAATTATTATACAAGAACAACTTCAACTAAGGTTGTGGGCGGAACTCCTCCAGAAATCAATCAACAGAGTTTCAACAGGTTACACATTAATTGTTTATTAGAGTTTCGGCAGAGTTTCGCATTTGGGGGTTTTGTCAATCGTCAGAGTTTTGACAAGGTATATACTAATTGTTCATTAGAGTTTCGACAGAATTTTGATAGTCACTAAGAGAATTCGGCAAGAAACTTTAACTTCATCATAAAAAAAAAGATTCCTCGTCATAATCAAACTTTAGTTATTGATTCATCGTGACCAGTATGTTAATTTCTATTCCAACGACAAATAACTGTAATACAGAACACTGGAATACTGAAACACTAATGAAACACTCAATGAAACAAGGAGTATTATGTGCCGCATTGGGATACTGGAATAACCATAATGATTATTCCAGTGTTACTAACCTTTTATTTAACCCATTTTGAATATTTTTTTAAAGAAAACTTGGCGGAAAGCCAAGTTATGCTGTTTATACTGATAGAAATATAAAGATAAACCGGAATAACTGTCTTGCAATATGTAAAGGATGTGCAACAAGAGAATTTAGTAATGCTAAAACAAAAGTTCGGGATTTCAAATATAGTGCAAATAGATCAAAAATATCTATTCACACTATGGCCGCCTTCCAAAATCCATCCAGAAATTAATTGGCAGAGTTTTGGAGTTATTAGGAGGTTTGGTGACTCACATATACAAAATTAAATATTATACGACTATTTGCAATTAGAATAATGAAAATTTTATTTCTTTATATATACAGTACATATGTTTCTATATTTATATTTTGACTAATTATTTTAGGTGATATTTGAATTCTGGTGTAACATTGTATTCCCGATGAAAGAAAAAAAAATGGAACAATTCAAATTCCGAATTCCATTGCACAACAACATTGATCTTGGCTCACAATAAAGAACTTTCGGATTTTTTTTTCTATTTTTATCACTTTACGAAAACCTGTACCTAAACCTGTTCAGGCACAATGTGGTTTTACTTTTATTAATTAATATTATTGTGTTATTGGTTATAACGCGTAGCTAACTTCGATCAAGTTAACACAATTCGTATTTATGTACCAACATTGAGCTGCACATATGTGTTTCAAACTCGGGTACTAAAGACAATTCGAACGAACGTGTTTTTCATTTTATGTAGTTTTTAATTTGTAAAAAATTTTGTACACGGAAATTTTCTTTTAATTAACATTAAGTTCATAATATGTATTATCATTAACAAATACTTGAATCAATAAACCCTTTCCCCATACAAAATTATGGTTTCATACAATGAATTTGTACCAAGCCAATCATCGAGACTACATAATCTCCAATAATAAATTGAATTATAAAAATAATAAACACTAACGCTAACACCATACTATATATACCCTATATATACAAAACTAAATAGCTTGCATAGAACAAAATATATACTTTCATCAGCTAGGTTGAACTTTGAAAGTATACAAAATTTACAAAAATGTTAAAGATAAAATCAATCTCACGTTTCACAGGTTTCGCAAACAAATTATTCGAATTTATCACAAGAAACAAAGTTTCGCCAAGTTCAAAAAATGGTTTAAGTTTAATTACGACATTTAAATATCTATTAGATAAACACATTAAAGATAATTAATTATTGTTAAATTAAGTAATCCAGGTACCAATTATTATTAGCTGGTTAGATTTGGATTGTTTCTTTGTTTATCTGTCTGCTGCTTCACTGGATCGAATCTATTGTTATCACATGTGAAATTTTTTAAGATAATATTGTTATCCTCAGATTAATATATTATTATTTAAGTCACGAGAGAGAAAGAAAATTTTTTTATCTATAAAAACTTGTATAAAAAATTCTTTTCTTTTTTTTAAAAAATAACAAAAAAAAAAAAAAAAACGCGTCTAAAGAAATGTCTTATAAAATAATTTTCTTTGTTAATTTTTTCTTTAATCTTTTTTATGGAATAAATGCTATTCCAGTTATTTCTCATGATAACAATGTTTTATTAATGAAACGACAATTAACAGAAGAGGATATATCACCAAATAAAGAATACTTTGAAGAGGTTGGGTATTTTAAAATGAGATTGATGTATATTGTTACCTTGATGTTATTACAAGCAAGTGTATTCTGTTCTTTATACGTGATTCGTCGTACATTTTCTAAAAATGGTGGAGCTGGAAACAACAATGATAAAGGACTTAGTGTTATCGATAAAATACCACTTTATATGGCTTATTTAGGTATTAATTAATTTATTAATTAATTAATTAGTTGTGATTTGGTTGGTAATAATCATTATCGTTATTTATTATTTTATAGATGTTGTTCTTTGCGCTTTACTCTCATTTGACTTGGTAAGTTTAATAAGCACTCAAAAAATTTTGATTTTGATTTTTCAAAATTCGTTTTTTTAAAATTCCCATTAAAAATATTATTTATTAGGGTTATCCAATAGCTCTCGTGGATAATTGGCCAAATCCAATATGCACAATTTTATCCGGAATTGTTTTTTATACTGTTATTGCATATACTGTATTAATTGGATCTCTTTCGATAATTGTTTGGCTTAAAGGTAACATATATTATATTATAGATGCTGTATATATGTAAGCAAATAACTATATTTAGCGAAATAAACAATTTCACTTTTATTTTACTTTATTTTAGAATGTTATAAAGTCGAATTCTATCTTGGCGCGTATGATTATAAGTTATTTGCTGTCACTATAATCATTCCGACAATTTTTACAGTTCTTAGTCGTAAAGCATTTGGAGGCGATGAATTTTGGTAACTATAATATTTATTTGATTTAATTAACTATTAATTGCACATTAATATTAACATATTAACATTAACATTGATTTATTAGGTGTTACTCGCCTGACCAATTTGACCTAGTTCCAAAAGTGCTTTTAGCAGTGTGTTTTACTGGACTAGCAATTTGCAGTTTTTGTTATTGTAATATTTTTATGAAGGCTAACAAAGTCAACAAAACAATATCAACCACTAAAAGTTTTGATGAAATGGATTCAACTGGTGAACTCTCTATACAAAATTTCAAAAAAATTCTTGGTTATTTATTAATTTATAATGTTAAATGGGTAAATATATTAATATACACACATATATCAATTAATATTGGTTTTTTGTTTTTTTTTTAATTGATTTTTTTTTTTTTGATTTTAGATTCCTTTGATGGTTTACATAATTACAGATATGATTAACGTAAGTTAAATATATTAATTTATAAAATTATATATTTAATTGTTTTTATTTTTATCTAAATAATTTATTAATACCAATTATATTTTTCTTTTTTAGTATGAAAGAGTTTATATATTTTTCACAACAATGATTTTATTTGCGTTATTTAGCGGCATATTGAATGTGACTCAATATATTATCAATGAACGTTCTTCTAAATCCGTTAAGACTACTACCAATAGCACTGATACTGATGGGAGAATGTAAATATTGTGGCGATGCAATGGAATTGGATATAACGGGAAATATAAGTGAGGGGAAAGAGAAATATATTTTTTATATAATCGTTTCACATTTTGTTTTGTTTTACAAATAAATATTTTTATTAAGTAACAAAGTATCACTGTACTACCAATGAATTTCGCTTGAATTTTTGTTTTTTTTGTTCAGTTTAACCCTCGAATAATAATTTTCATCTGATTAATTTTGCCGTTCAGGTTATTTTTTTTTATCTTCAACCAAGTATTTCAGTTTGCTGTTTTAACTGAGAAATATCATTCTCTGCCCTATTAAAATGTCGGACAAAAAATTTAATTTATATTATAACTTATCATATCGAGGTCCTGTTATGATAATAAAAGTTATTAAAACACGCTATTCAGAACAAATTTTCATAGGTTGGTTGGTTTGTGATAGATTATTAGAGGTTTGTGATTAGTTATGATTAGAGTTTGGAAAACTTGGAGATTTTATATTTATTCTGAGGTTTGGATGGGTTGGAACAATCGATTGATGTATAAAGAATATCTTTACATCAATCATGACGACTTAACTATTAAATTTTAGTCTAGTTCAAGGTTGGGTGACGAAAATAATTGTGACGAAATAGGGTTTTACACTTTGAGTAATTTGACGAAAGTGACGAAATCAACAAAACGATAAAATAAACCAATTATTTTGGAGATTTAAAATTCATGATGTCAAATTCTAATTCACCCAATTCACTAATTCCTTCTCAATCATCATCATATAATATGAATTTGCAAACATTAAAATTAGATATATCTGTAAGTTCATTTAACAATAACCAAGAATTAGCTACAGGACGTCCTGTGTTTGATGTATGGTTACATTCCATTAAATAGTAAATGAAGAATCATTTCAACAATCAGAATTATCAGATGATTCTACAGATTTTGAAGAAAGTTATGAAACCAGCAATAGATGTGAAGCAGCAATTCCTACTAAAATTTTGCGTACAAAAATTAAGAAACATGATTTACGATGTAAAAAAAATGTTTAATTAAAGTTTTAATAAAATTGAATTTTATATTTTCGTCATCTTTGATTTTTTATATTTAATTTTAACATTTCACATTGAATTTTATTGTATTAAAAATTAATAAAAATAATATATAAATTCAATTTGAAAAAAATTATAATTATATAATACGAACAAAGTTGGAAAATTTCTACAAATAAATGGCACAACAACCTCAAATAATTATTCTTTCATAACATGACAACTCGATCAATCAATTAATCTACCAGCTAAAAAATTAATCTATACTGTATATATAAATAAATAATTCTAATAATCAAATGTTTAACCAGCATCAATATTATTATTGTTTATATTTGATTTTCCATCACCATTCACCAAAATTATTATACCATTATCGATGAAGACATTTTGAACTGTTTGATCCAATCATATTTGGCCAAAAACACCAACACTATTACTACTACTATTTAAACTATTATTATTCATTATTTTCAAATGATCATCATCATCACCCGATTTCTCTCTTAATAATCTAACAATCTCACGAAATTGTTTCTCTCTATCACAATCTCTTCCCCACATACGTCCAAGGTTCATCTCAGCGTCATCAATAGGTTTTCTTCCCCACCGATCTTTTGTTTCTATGTTTAACTCGGGCAATAGTAAAAGATATTGAACAGTGTCCAAACTCCCTTCTGCTACTGCATGATGTAATGCTGTACGACGATCAAATCCCGTTCTGTTAATTTCCATTCCAGAATCCACAAAATGTCTTAATAATTCAACGTCATTTTTTGATGCAGCACTTTTAATACAAAATATAGACAGACATAATTAAAATATTTAGCATAATAATTGTTATTAAAAAAAAACAGATTATATAAAGTTTTTATTACTTACGATAGTGCTTGAAACATCACATCATCAATCTCAGCATCATTAAAATGCGCACCAGCTTCACGTAATAATTTGATTATATGCTTATTTTTGTTTCTTGCTGCTTCAAATAGAGGTGTATGGCCAAATCTATCTCTCATATGAACTGAGGCACCATGATGTAGCAAAAAGTCTACAATACGTTGGTGACCGCATGAACATGCAATATGCTTTTAAAAAATTTTTTTTATCTTTATATAAATAAACAGTATAGATAATATAATAATGTACATTTTAAAGTCAGTGAAACCTACTAAAGGGGTTCTTCCATCATAATCTACACAATTAAGTAATAAACCTTCATAACTTTCCCATAATAACAACATTCCATCAAGATCATCTGTTCCAGCAGCTGAACACAATAATATAGGATATAAAGTTTTTTCCATCAAAACCTTTTCCTGAACATTTATCGTTAATGCCAAATCTGATGTACTATTTTTTTTCAAATCAGAAGCTGCATCTAAATTTATATTATAATTTAATTTTAAAAAATTCAGTATATTTATATATATTTATGTATGGAATAAACATGAAGATAATAATAACAATTCTTACATATCATATTTTGTATAATTTTGTGTGTACGATTATGAAAAGTAAATCTTGGTCTTGGTGACAAAATTGTTAACTCACCACGAAGATTTTTTGTCATTAAATTTCTGACAGTTTCGGGTGAAATTTTTGTACCGTTTCCATTTTCACTAAGTAAATATGAAAGTTTAACTAAAGCACACTATTTAATCAAAGAAAAACACATATATAAAAACAATTGATTGTTGTGTTTATTTATAAAGTGGATATGGATAAATATATATTTATTACGACACTTACCTCGGGTGTCAAATCATTACCAGATACAACACCAACTCTTGAAAGAGCTTTTCCGGTGGCATAGATATCAGACACAAAGCCTTTTTTACATTGAGTACAATTAACAATTACAACACCTCTACCACTCGCTTCACCCAAAGCGTTCATTATATCATCTCTAGTATCTGGTATATTTCCAGCCCCATAAGTTTCTAAAATAACACCCTCAATGGGTGGCGCCAGTAAAGCTTTTACTGTAGTTTCTGTTATACCAGGAAATAATCTTAAGCTACTAACATTTCTATTAAGATTTTTGTGTGCTTTAAATTTTGCAATTGCAAAAGGTCTAACAACTTCTGCCCAATTTACATCTATTAAGTTGAAAAGAGAATGAATGATTTATTTATTTGATTTGTTGGTACACATATGCATATAAATATAAATAAACACTTACTAATATTAATACCAACAGTTGCTAAAGGAGAAAGATTTGGTGAAGCAAATGCATCAAATTCCACTGTATCCACTTTAATTGCTCTGTTTCCACGAAAAAGTTTGTTATTGAAAAATAAAGTAACTTCTGGTAACACATAATGACCAGCAATTGTAAGAGCACCTAAAAGGTTTTCAACTGCATCATTACGGACTTCAGATAAAGGAACCTATGTATTTACAATGAGATAAGATTATTTAAATGATTTATACAAGAAAATACATTTATTTTATAATTGGTTTTAATACCTGTGAACCTGTTAGAATGATGGTTTTACTAAATTTAATTTTCATCATTAATTAATTAACAATATCAAATGATGTAAATGCTAAATAAATATTAATATTATAGTTGATAAAATTTTTACCCCAAATTTTCCAAAAGAAAACTAAGTGCACTAGCTGTGTATGCCATTGTATCTGTGCCTTTTTATTTTATGTTATAATCATAAAATCAATCATAAATCAAAATAAAAAATTTTTATAGAAAAAAAAACTAACCATGTAAAATAATAAATGCATCATATGATTGATAATTCAATTCGATGTCAGTGGCTATCCGTACCCAATCTTTACAATTATTAATAAAAAAGATTGCGTAAACAAATATTTCCTCTTAAAATAGGATATTTCAAAAAAAAAATTTTTTAAGTTTTTAAAAAATTACCATCACTCGACATATTACAAGAATCCAATAAAGGTTCATATTCAAAAACTGAATATCTTAATATCAAAATTTAATGATTAGAACAAAAATATGAGATTGAATTTCTTTTTTAACCATTGTCAATATCACAGTACCTTATTCTTTTACCATATAATGAAATTGGAGTGATCAAACTACGTTGAAAAAACTCTACAATCTCACCAGTTTTACAATCTTTAACGATAACTTTATTTTTATCTGAATTATCATCATCTTCAGTACGATCCATTATTGGTTTAAGAGAAATACGATGATGATTTTTAACAAATTGATGATCATGAAACCGTGACATTCCTGCAAGCGTTTCAGTAAGATAGTTAGGTACCTGTTTTTGTTTGTACATGGAATTATAGATTATTTCCTAACTAAACAAAAAATTATTAAATTATTAAAAAAGAGCACCCAATTACTTACAGTAGCATAGCCTTGATTTTTCAAGTTCTTCATTCCAATGGTACCACCTGTATAGATAATCAGTACTTGTGATAAATCTATATTAATAATAATATTATTATTATTATTAACGACCAAGTATAACTATATTATTAGTGGTTGTAAAACAATAGCAATATATGTATAACGATTTAAATGATAAAAAGAAATTTTGATTTTATACTGACCAGGTGTTGCCATATCACCTTGATACTGTTGAAGTTGCAAAGAAACTGCATCATTATGTATTAATGGTTGGTTAGTGGTTGCGCCAAGTTCTTCTTCAGATGAGGAGTATTCAGAAAGCGATGTTAGTGATTTATTTGGAGTAAGATAATGCAAAGATTCTCTGTCAGATTCAAAGCCATCAGGCTTTTTTTTGAAATCGGTAGTTTCAAAAGTCATTTTTATTATTTTTATTGTAAAAATTGAATTAAAAAAAAATCGTGGGAAATATCTTGCTTGTAAAACGATAACATTGTTAGCATGGCAGCAGATGACAATGGGTTATCTGTACATCAAGTGATACAAGGGGAGCAGGGACAATGATTTTTTATGCATTTTGCATGGACGTATAAGAAAATCATTGTGATACAAGTGGACCAAGAGTAACAGTTAAAATTGAAGAACAATGGGTCAAAAAGAAAAACAAACAATTAACAAAATCAGAAAGGTCGATTCAAATTTGTAGTAGACAAATGTATTAGTAGGAATGCTATAAAACAATTTAAATCTTTTTGTAAAACCACATGATTAAAAATACTTTTTTGTGTATTACAGTCGAACTTCGTTATAACGGTCATTGCTATAACGGATTTTCGTTATACCGAACAAAGTATTTTCAACAAGTTATATAATAATAATAATAATAATAATAATAATAAGCCTTGTTATCTGTATAACAAACATTTAATGTGAATTTCATATTAATATTAATAATATTAATATATTTTTTAAACCGAACTTTTATAGATCTCTAGCAGATCTTTCTAATATTAGATAAATAAATGATAAAATCATTCGGGAGCATAAACAAATTTCATAAATAAACTCGTGATAAATAAACTCATGATAATGAGTAGTCAAATGAGGTGTGGACAATGGAAACATATGATTCTTTACTCATAAGCTTTGTTCTAAGATTAGAATAAATGATGGTAAATTATGGAAGAGTTCTTTTATCAATAGAAAAATTCACATTATATTTTTTAGAAAAATGCATGATACATTTGATGGACAAAAGTTTGCATCCGAAATTTCTTTTCAAAATTATACTAATTAAAAGATTGTAATCTTTATATCATTAGAAAACCCTTGTACTTGATAATATGTTCATGATATCAAATTTCGAGTTTTATATGAAAAAAAGATGATAAATAAAAAATAAAAAACAATGTAAAAATAACAGAATATCGATAAATAAAAAAAGTGTATTCTTCATCTCAAAAAAATATTATTTAATATCTAGTTGTCCAACCATTGTTTGCAATGCAATCTTCAATTCTTTGGGGGAATACTGTCAATTAAATTTAAGTTCACAGTTCTTTTCCATTTTTCTAAATTGGTTTAAAAATAAAAAAACATCAACATTTTCGCTATTTTTACATTGTTTTTTATTTTCTATTTTTCATTACAAACTTTCAAAATTTGATATATGAACATATTACCAAGAACAAGAGTTTTCGAATGATATAAAGATTAAAATCTTTTAATTAGTATGGTTTTGAAATGAATTCAAAAGAAATTTTTTGTCCATCAAGTGTATCTTTTTAATTCAACTAGAATGGCGAGTTTTTGGTTAACTATTACTATCACCATAAAATCAGCCTTATGAATGGTGATATATTTATGTCTAAGAAAGCTAAAGGTAATAATAATAATTTAATGGATTAAAAGGAATTAATAAATGAATATATTTAATCTTGTATTTAATACAAATCAGTAAACCTGAAGTACAAGAATATAAAACAATAATTCAGCAAACACATATAAACATACATCAGAACAGAATGTCATCATAATAATGGTATTTTCATTTCAATCAGTTCAGTATTTTATTAATTAATTAATCAAATTTAAAAAAATCAAGGAATTTTAATGTGAATGGTTGATGTTTTAAATTGATGATGATCTTTAAAGTCTGCATAATAACAATATGCAATTTTTAGTATGATGAATGATGGAACTTCAACTTTCTAATAGCAAATATTAATTTATTGTATATTGTAAATTGGTTGATATTTTAAATTATCAACGCATTAAAACTTTCATAAAAATAACATGCAATGTTGAATGGTAGTCTTTAGCTTCCTAATGAGTTTAAGACCATTTAACTTGATCAAGTATTTCTGTATTTAGTTTCAAATATTTTTACATGACTCATGGGATTCGTGGAACACCCAGTAAAGTTAGAGATTACTGGTATAATATGAAAAGAAAAAACATAAAACTCGGCAAGATTACAAACAAATTTTTCAGGATATCTAGTTAATTTTTAACATTTAAGCAAATAATCATTTAAATATTGACAAAAAAAAATATAATATTAATATATATTTCATTAAAATTCGTACATAAAAAATGTTTAATGCATTGTACGAACATATCATGTGATTTATAACAATTTCTATTGGTTGGTTGATAAAATGCAACATACATTAAAAAAAAATTTTTGCGCACCGATTAACATGCATTAAGGTAAATAATAATAATGAAGATCGCAATATAAACATGCAAATTAAAAATTCATATAATATCAACACAAAATTTTTAATAATTATACAATCTACTCCGATGGGGAACATTTGGGAAATAAATAAACTATTATCATTCTTTTTAATTATTTTATTATACATTACAAACTCATTGGCTGACGAACATTCACATACAGTAAGTCCTTGTTAGATCAAAGTTTTTATCAATTTGTGCATATATTTATATATATTGTGTATATTATACTACTTAGTATGAAAAAAAAGAAGATATAATAATATGGGCAAATACAGTTGGGCCATACTCAAATAGACAAGAAACATATGAGTACTTTCAATTACCTTATTGTCAAGGAATATATGTTTCAGGTGAATACTTTAAAAATTAAAAATTAACGTGAAATTGTTTATTAAATCAATCAATCAATAAATCAATCAATCAATCAATCAATCAATCAATCAATCAATCAATCAATCATATATTTAATTGTTTGATTATTTTCTAGAACATCATCATGAGACATTAGGAGAGGCTTTATTAGGTATTTGGGAAGAAAAATAATAATAATAATAATAATAAATCAACGTTATAAAAAATCTAAATGATAAAAATTCATGTAGAGAATATTTAATAAAAATATTATTTTTAATAAGAAGCAAATATATATATTGAATCAAAGATATTATTTATTATTATTATTATTATTATTATTATTATTGCTAGTGTTACTATTATTAATAATATTTAATGAATTTATTTATCTAATTAATTTAAAAATGTAAAAATTTTAGGAATGGAATTAATAAATTCTGGGATTGGAATGAAATTTTTGGGTGAGTAAAGTAAAAATATTTGAGAAAAAATATATAACAATCTTTTTTATGATAATCAACATATAATCAAATCCATAAAATTGAAATTTTATACTTCCAATTAATTATTAGTAAATGAGGAAAATTCTACAATTTGTGAGACAAAATTAACAGCAAAAGACATAAATTTATTTCGATATGCTGTAGCAAATAATTATTGGTATCAAATGTTTTTAGGTATATTATATAATATTTATTTGTTTGTTATGGATTCTTATTTAATAATTAACTAATTTTTTGATTTATAATTTTTTTTTTTAAAAAAAAAACAGATGATTTACCAATATGGGGTAAATTAATTAATATTATTATATATACACTATTATTATTATTATTATTATCATTATTATCATTATCATCATGAGTTAATATTTTGTTGTGTTTAGGATTTGTTGGTGAAACTGATAAAGTTTCGGGCGAGGTATTTTTATATGCTCACAGAGATTTCGTTGTCAGTTACAATGAGGATAAGGTTAGATATTGGTTAGATATTATTTATAATTAAAATTTAATTGATCACGAGAAGCATTAAAATATACTTTACTCTTTTCTTTAGATTATTCAAGTTAAACTTGAAAGTAACAATCCGATAAAATTGTATTGGGAAAATCAGGATCTCCCAATAAGATTTTCTTATTCAGTAAATTGGATTGCTACAGATGATCCTTTTGATGCTAGATTTGACAAATTGTTAGACATGGAATTTTTTGAACATAAGGTTTAAATTAATTAAATAATTTAATCATTAAAAATTATTTATATAATTTAACAAAAATTATTTTTCAATTCCTCATAGATTCATTGGTTTTCTATTATCAATTCATTTGTTATGGTTATAGTTTTAACTGGATTTGTAAGTTTAATATTGGTAAGAATGATCAAAAAAGATTATGCAAGATATGATAAAGAAATAGAAATCGGTGATTTGGTAAGCTTTTATTATGTTATTTATTTATTTTTTTAAAAAAAAAAATCTCGAACGAATGTTAATAATATAAAAATAATATAAAAGGATCACGATATCGGAGATGAATATGGTTGGAAACAAATTCATGGTGATGTCTTTCGTGCACCGCGTTCATTATTATTATTCTCGGCATTGATTGGAACTGGACATCAACTAGTATGGTTGACTTTAGTCATTATTCTGTATACAATAATCGGAGATTTATATACAGAGTGAATATCATCTCCAATTTCAAAATTTAGGAATTTATTTGTAGTATGACAGATAGATAACAATAACGCTCGCGATAAATTAAAATATAAATTAGAAAATTTTTTTTTTACAATTAATAATAGCAACAACAATAATAATAACAATAATATCTTTTTATCCTCCTCATTATCATTAGACGTGCAACTATTATGACAGCTTCAATTTTTTTTTATACTTTAACATCAGCTGTTGCTGGTTATACAAGTGCTAGCATATATCATCTTTACGGAGGTAAATAAGTTAGTTATATTATATATTACCCATTCACTCATTAAAAATAGAAATAACTATTTTTCTTTTCTTTAATTAGGACGAAATTGGATAAAAAATGTTATGCTTACTGCTACTTTATGGCCAGGAACAGTCACCATAATCACAGGATTAATAAACTCAATTGCTGTCTATTACTCTAGTTCAAGAGCAATACCATTTACTATTATGGTTATTATATGTTTCATTAATAAAAGTTGTTTTTTTGTCTGTTAATTTTTTGTTAATTACTAAATTACTAACTATATTTTATTTTTTTGTTATTTACTCATAGTTGGCAATGTTTGCAATTTGGTTATTCTTAGTATTTCCGCTAACGCTATTTGGAGCGATTCTTTATAGAAATTGGACAAGTCAGCCTGATTTTCCATGTCGTGTTAATCCAATACCAAGACAAATACCGGAAAAGGTTTGGTAAGTAATAATGACAATGCCATTATTAAATTATCGAATGATCGATTGATTGAATAATATTGACTTTATGTTGAACAATACTTGATCAATTTGTTTTCACTTTATCAAAAAAAAGGTATGTCGAACCTTTTGTGATTCTTTCCATGGGCGGCATTCTTCCTTTCCTGTCCATCTTCATCGAGATCTATTTCATTTTTTCGTCTTTTTGGGCGTACAAAATATATTACGTCTATGGATTTATGTTATTTGTTTTCATAATTCTTTTAATAGTAACAGCATGTGTTACTGTAGTTAGTACATATATACTGCTCAACTCTGAAGATCATAGATGGTAAATTTTATTACAATTATTGTCATTATATATATAATATTATTATAATGATTTTTTGTTAATAAATGCTATTTTATCAATAATATTTTTTTTTAGGCATTGGATTAGCTTTTTTACTTGTGGTTCAACCGCTGTTTATGTTTATCTTTATTCAATATATTATTTTGTCAATAAAACAAAGTAAGTAGTAGAAATTTTATTATTTAATGTTTTTTTTTTTTTGATTTATAATTAACAAATTTATTGCTATTATTATAGAATGTATGGTTTATTTCAAACATCTTTTTATTTTGCTAATACTGCGATAGTATGTTTTGGGTTGTTTATTATGTTGGGTAAGTTAGTTAACAATGATAACAATAATAATAATAGTTCACCCTTAAAAAAAAAAAATAAATTAATAATTTTTTTTTTATAGGTTCTGTTGGATATTTTACTGCTGATAGATTTATTAGAACTATATACAAAAATGTAAAATTGGATTAATTTAATTATATAAAGATATTTAATATATACAATATACACTTAATATAATAATAATAATAATAATTATAATTATAATTATTATTTAATTTTATAAGCATTCCATTATTATTATTATTATTATTATTATTATTATTACTATCATCATCATCATCATCATTTATTATTAATATTGTATTAATATTTATTTTGTTATTATTATTTTAATACCGCAAAACACTTTTTTTAGTAAATATAATTATAATGTAATTACAAGTAGTCATAGATTAAAATAAAAAATGGCATATTGGTTTAATAACGATTATTGAAGTGTGTTTCAAATACTTAAAACAAAATATATATAGATTATCAATAATTTTTATTGAAAATTTCTCGCTATCTTATTTTCATACATTAAATAATAAAAAGCAACTAATATGTTTATTTACTCTATTATTATTATTATTATTGTTATTATTATTATTATTATTTAGTTGGTATGTTTGTTACGATTTTACAATAGATGAGCATGCCTAAATTTTTCTCCAGCATAAATAGCTTTATCTCCTAATTCTTCCTCGATACGTAATAATTGATTATATTTAGCTAAACGTTCTGAACGACAAGGTGCTCCAGTTTTAATTTGTCCTGTACGAAGACCAACAACAAGGTCTGCTATGGTAGAATCTTCGGTTTCACCTGATCTATGAGAAACCATTACACCCCAACCGTCTGATTGAGATAATTTAGCACTAAAAAGTAAATTTTTCAGTTAATTATTTTTAACAAATTATAAATATAAATATAAATATATATTAATTAATTAAAATAAATAACACTTACGCTTGAATTGATTCACTTACTGTGCCAATTTGGTTAACTTTTAAAAGAAGTGCATTACAAGCTTTCTTTTCAATAGCTGTAGTAATTCTTTCAGGATTAGTGACTGTTAAATCATCACCGACGATTTGAATATCAACAGATCCAGTTAAATTACTCCATGCCTCCCAATCATCTTGATCAAATGGATCCTCAATGGAAACTATTGGATACTCTTTGATAAACTCTTTGTATAAATCGGCAAGCTTATTACCCTTGAGCCATTTAGATTTATCAGAATTTTGATTCTTAAAATCAAGGTCGTAATGACCATTATCTTTATAGAATTCAGAAGCTGCAACGTCCATTCCTATTTTAATTTTATCAGTATACCCTGCCTTTCCAATAGCCTCTTTTAATAATTCAAGACCTTCTCTATTATCTTGAATATTAGGTGCAAATCCACCTTCATCACCAACATTAGTAGCATCTTGACCATATTTGGCTTTGATGACTGATTTCAAAGAGTGATACACTTCTGAACCGATTTTCATGGCTTCTGAAAATGATTTTGCTCCAGTTGGCAATATCATAAATTCTTGCATAGCAAGTTTATTACCAGCGTGAGATCCGCCATTGATTACATTAAAAGCCGGAACGGGAAGAACAAATGGTTTTTTACTTTCAGCAAGATCTGCAATATGTTGATAAAGTGGCACTCCCTTATAATAATAATAATAAATAATAAAAATTAAATTATAATCTTTTTTTTTCATATTCATTCTTATAAACCTATATATATATATATATATATATTATATATAATTTCATCACTAATTACCTTTTCAGCAGCACCAGCTTTTGCAACAGCTAATGAAACACCAAGAATTGCATTAGCACCAAGTTTTGATTTATTCTTAGTACCATCCAAGTTCAACATAAATTCATCAATAGCCTTTTGATCTTTAACATCTAAATTGGCTTTTATAAGCTCAGGTGCAATTATCTGATTCACATTTGCAACAGCCTTTGATACACCTAGGGCAAATAAATATATAAATATATATATTTAATAATGTAGATTAAACATTATTATGATTATTATTATTAATATTATTGCTTGATAATTTATTTACCTTTACCAACGTAATCAGATTTAACTCCATCACGTAGTTCTAAAGCTTCATGAATACCAGTGGAAGCACCTGAAGGAACAGCTGCACGAAAAACACCTGTTATAATTTTTAAAAATATGCCAATTAGTTAAAATTATTATTGCTACTTGTATTATAAAACAAATTAATCTAATTATTTAATTATCTATTATTTATATATTTACCTTTTTCGGTTGTAAGGTCAACCTCAACTGTAGGGTTACCACGGGAATCAAAAATTTGACGTGCATGAATTTTATGAATAGCCATGTTTATTAAATAAGTTGATTAATCAAAAAATAATACAAACAACAATGGTGGTACTTGATTGAGGATAAATTAAATAAAGCTTTTTTTTTAAAAAAAAAAATTAAAGAAAAATATTTGCTGCTGATATTATTGCGTCAATTTATATTCTTTTCGGAAAGAATCGCCATCATTATTATTTGTAGATGGAGGTAACATCCGATTTTGATAAAGTTTTTGCTATACTTTTAATAAGTGGTGTGACTATTTTTGGTATAGCAAAAAAAATTTAGGTAAAGTAGTTCTTATATTATTAATATATTAATATGAATTTATAGGGTAAAAGATCCAAAAAGACCCTAATACTAAATAATGTTTTATTTATATTAGATTCGGATTTATTAAGAATTAGCGAAGAACATCATCGTTACATGTCTTATATAGGCGAAATTTGGTTACACGATATAAAACTTGAAGGAACCCTTTACTCTTTTTTTTTCTATATACCAAGCAAATCTTTATGTAGATTATTATGTAACACAAATTCGGCCAGATGACCTCAGAAGTGGGTTTCAATTTTAGAACTTGCGCAAATTAAAAGGTATCCGGCCTACAATTCCTCATTTTTTTATTAAACAAACAGGGTCTAATGTTTTCAACAAGCTTTATGTTTATAGATTAATATTAACATAAACTTGATCAGATGACCTCGGAGACTGTTTTTGCCGGAAAAGGTCCCAAATGTCAAATGTTTGAGGTCTTCTTCCTTTACCATATGGCTAAAATACTTTATTTGAGAGAATGTTTAATATACTGTTTGCTATGTTAATTCTGTTATCCAATTCTTCTTATATTTCTTTTTTAGAGACAAGGAACAATTTTACATAATTCCTTTCCATCCACATACTTAGTATATTATTTGTGATGTTGGAGTACTCATTATACCTAACTTGTATCTCATCTATCATGAAATGCACATTCGAAGTAGGGTCGAATTCTTTGTTGTTGACTCGTTTATACCAAGATGTACTCATACCCGGGTAGTATTGTCAAAATCGCCAGTCCAATCACTTTATTGGACTTTGGACTACTTGGAGCCCAATTGGCGTATAGTGCAAGACACCTAGTCCCGCAAATTTTTATTGGTCTTGTAGTTTTGAAGCTAAGACACCTTTACTTATGTACAAAGTTATGATTTCATTTTGTTGATATGTCGCGTTACTATGGAGAGATCAAGCCTCAAAGTTGCATAATATGTAGCACAATACCACGAGACCAAATTTAATTAACGAAAGAATACAGCTCAACTAATCAGTGCAATAATTGGCAAAGATACTATCTCTCTTTGGAAACCTTCGAAAGAAAAGGAAAATTTTTGTTAAACAAAATTTGATTGTGTTGTATAATCATTGATTGATACTCTCCCAAATTTTTTAAAATGTTCAAAGGTTGTATTTAAATTCGTACATGATGATGAATTCACTTAATAAAATTCCAAACTTTCGAAAAAATTATTCAAGTTGTCGAAATCGAAGGTCTATAGAGAAATTCAAAAATCGAAAATCGAAATCAAAACTCGAAGTCAGATAACAAATTAAATGACTTTATTATATATCTTCCAATCCTACTAAAAATTCTTAATTCATCATTTCAATTCTTCTTTCTAAAGCGATTTCATTAATGACGGTATTTTTAAATTTACAATATCTTCAATTTTTAATATATCCATATTATCCACCTAAATTCATCATAGATAAAATGCAATATTAAAGTGGTTGTCTCTTTCTGTAATATCTTTTTCATAGTAATTAAATCCTTTGTTTGCATGATTAACATAGTAAGAATGAATTTTAGCTAAATTTTCAATTATCTTTGTAGATAAACTGTTCCTTCCTTGCCCATAAAACAGGAAAAAATCGTTCAGCACCAACTGTATGAAAATAATTTGATTGCCAATTTTTGTAAGTGATTATAATCGTCTTCACATGTAGACCACCAATTAATTGGATTATCCAGTTTAGTATGAACATTTGAAGAATTAGAAGTTGCCAAAGAATTTGCTTTATCCAAAAAATTATAATTTTGATATTTACGCAAAACAATTTCAAGATAGAATTGGTTAATTTCAATAGGTGAATTTAGATATCCATTTGCATCAACTGTGAACTTCCTTTTGTTCCATTATTATTACAACATACACTACCTGGACAAAAGTATAGGGACACCTGCAGATCATCACAAATAATTGAATAAAGTGACATGACAAAAACT